TCCGTTTACAGCATCCTGACATGCAATTGCATTTGTCTCTAACCATTGGGAACCCTCATGTTAACTTTCATCGAGTGGAAAAAAGTTAGCATTTATCCTCCAGGTTCACTGTGTTTATGTTATGCTAACATAGCTGTGTCGCTAGTGATCATGTAGCACATCATTACATACTAGCTAGTCCAACTTCAGCAACCCTAAAAAAAGTCACTGCGGTTTAGTTTTCTGTCTTCATTTATGTTGGAAGTGATAGCAGAGCTGTACAAACTAGCGAGCCAACTTCCTGCTAACTTCTAACTCCATTAAACTTAATAAATTCTGTTTTCATGGATGCCTGGATGTTAAACTTAATTGTTACACCTGGAAAAGCAGTAACACTGATCATTTTATTAGAGATGAAAGAATTTAGACAGTTTTTAACTCTCAGTGATGCCGCAGTGTTCCAGTGTTCGCTTGACTTTGGGACCTGAAGAGGGTGGAGTTTTGGACCCAGGTTACTCCGTGAGGCTCTTGATTACGGTCGCTGCAATGCTTCAACAATCCATCAAGCGGTGCAGCTTCATAGCTTACCAAAGTCGTACTAAAACATTTTTTTGTGCGCTGTGTACCACATAAAATCAGTTTGAGGTCAGTAAGCACAACCAGAATTCATACATAAGGTGCCCCGGATTATAAGGCAGACTGTGGATTTTTGAGAAAATGGAATGATTTTAAGTGCACGTCATAGTGCGGAAATTAAGGAATATGTGCAGAAATATTAATGACATGTCTAAAGAACATAAATTAAATAATATTTAAAAACACTGTGTATATATATATATATCTGTCACACATGTATAACAATAAGTAACATGAAACCCTGATTATAAATAATATCAATTAAATGAGAAGAGTAAATAATGTGTGTCCTGATCGGTTGATCGATGGCTAAATGTTCCCGATCAGCTGGACTCACGTTGATGAAGCGGCTCACGTTTCCCTCCTTGCTTGCGTCCACAAAACAAACTTCGTCCACCTTCGCTGCTCTCTTTAAGCTCATGCTCGCCTTTGTACCATTCACACCAGCGCTCTCCGACATTGATGCCACCTTCTCGTCTTGCTCTTGATCACCTGACACACAGTAGCCAATTGTTTACCAGCTGTGTTAATGTATCATTTGTGTGTTTTGTGTGAGTCATTACTGACCTGATGAAGGAGATGTGGGCTGCAGACCTCCAACCAGCACCGCCTGAATCTGACAGAAGAAAATAGAAGCCTTTTACTTTGAACTAAAGATCACGAAGGCACAAAAATACATTATTTTAATCAAATAATTAGAGGAAATATTCAAAGGAATGCAGGACACACAAAGGATTTAAAATAAACAATAATTCTTTTAAAAACAGGTCACAAAATATTCAAAGGAAAAAATAAAAATATGTAAATTGAAAACCTGTAATCTCCATACAAATACAAATGAAAAAGATTTACAATATAATAAAATGTGTATAGAAATATTGGAAATATAATATGTAAAAAAATAATTCTGAAAATAAAATAAAACTTTACAGTAAAGTAAACGAGCCTAACAAACCTCTTCTTGGTCTGTGGTGCTGGAGCCGCTGTCGGAGGGTCTCTGAATCACAGGGACATGCAAAAGAGGTGAAGTAGGCGGAGACGTAGGCGGGGGCGTTTCCAGCACATTGCGTCGGCCCTCCAGCACAGGTGGGGCCAGCCACTCCGTGACGACCTCCACCTCATCGTCAGACGGCAGGTCGGACCTTGTCAACTTTGGCGGCGGTGGTTCGGTGGGATTCGGGACCCTCTGCAGCACCACACCTGGACACGGATGAGAGGACGAGTTTACAGACCGTGGCTTGGACGGAGCCACTGAACGCTGAGCCACACTCACCTGCGTAAATGCACACAAAGGTCCCACGGTCCAGGTCGTCACGGCATCGCACCCCCCAGCCACGGTTCTCAGTCTGGAAGACCTGGAGTCGGACTCTGATGCCTCTCTGGACGAGACGGTTCTGGCAGCGAGATCGGTCACAGCCGCACCACGGGCCACACTCAAAGAGCCTGAAGATTGATCACCATGGTAAGACTTTGTCAGCAAATCAGTGAATCAGTTAATGATCAATACTTCCACTGGGAAACCTAAAGCTCCTGCTTTAGCTCCTTTTGAAAAACCTCTACTTGTTCACCTCACCCTGATGGGTTGGCCTGTAACAGCCTGTGATGGCGATAGTGGCGCTCTCCAGAAGTCAAGGCCACGCAGGCGCAGCGCTTTGCATCACTGCAGCCATCTGTGCAGTCACAGCAGGCCTTGAACAGCTTTGGGCCGCGGCTCAGGAAGCAGCCATGTGGCCATCGGTCCTTCCTGTAGCGGAATTCAGCAGGCCGGGAGCCACCGTCCCCGACGCACAGCTCCACTGGTATTGGCTCCGCCCCTCGGCTCAGATCCTGTTCAGGCTGCCGAAGGCCCCCTGGCGAAGGAGGGTCCAACCGCACGGAGGGGTTAAAGGTGAAGAAGTCAACCTGCAGGACGAAAACTGACCCAGTTTAAAGGCCTGAAGGAGGAATATACAGAGAGACACTGAACACAGCAAAAAAAAAATCATCTGTTGACCTGCAGGATGTCATAACTCTCTGTAGCCTCCAAAAAAAGCATTACGTTGTCATGGTTACGGAGGCTCAGCCCACATGGTGCCTTGTAGATGACGTCCCAGTTTCCTACGTCTTCCTGCTCCTGGTCCCCGTGGTCCCAAAGCACGCCCTCTTTGGCGGGTGAAATCAGTGGCATGGCGGTCAGCCTCTTGAAGCCGCAGAGCAACGGGATCTTCAGTGGGTTCTGGCCCCAGAATAGCGGCATGGACTGAGTCATGCTGGGCAAACAGGGCAAGCAGGACTGTAAAGCGAAAAACAGCTCACGTTATCAGGATTTTAAATATTCAAATATTCAGGAATTTTTAAAAAAGCCTTTGGCTACAAACTGTAAATGATCACCGTTAAATTAAATGCCCCCAGTCTGGTATAGGGACTGACTATGACAGTTTCAAGGTCATGAATTAGACACTGGACATTATCAAGTTGCTTTAACCTCCTAGGACCTGCCGTCCACATATGTGGACATCACATTTTGGGTTGTTTAGACCAAAATACTACATTTTGCTCAACAAGTGCCTGATATCCACTTACGAGGACATTATACTGCTACTGTTCTATTGAAATTTTAAACAAATATCCTCATATGTGGCTCTCATTTTTCTTAGAAACAAAAATCAGGTAAAAAAAAATATCTGGTAATTCTTTGTTTTTACATTCATCAGGTCCCAATATGCCCAGATATCAAAGAGAAATTAAAAGTTTATTAATTAAAAGAAATTAAGAGTTTGGGTCTTAGGAGGTTAATGCTTCTTCTCAGGATAAAAGCCCCAAGTTACTTACAGGAATGTATAAGGATGCTCTAAAGTTCTGAAGTATATCAGATTTCTAAATTTAAAAAAAACTATTCGATAGATTTGAGATAATTACAAGGATCAGGTTTTCAACATATTCAAGATTCTGGGTAGAAACTAAAAGGGATCAATGTGTTTTCAGGCTGTTAGATTATCAAGATTCAGAATAAAACCACCATATAAATTAAAGGAACTTTTTGAGATCAAATTAGGCAAAATAAATTCTCGGGCTTATTCTGAATGACATCAATGTGTGTTTACCTTGGAGCAGGTGTGGAGGTGGTACTGCAGCTGGACAGGCACGAGGGGAGGCAGCAGCTCCTCTCTGCCAGCAGGAGACGCTGTTGGACTGGATAACCCATTAAAAGGAGGCAAGAAGGATGAAGAGGAGGAGCAAGAGGATGAAGGGCTGTGTTGGAGGATGTCAGCTGGCAGCAGCTCTTCTGGGGAGGAATAAACACTCAGCAATAGTCGGACTCAAACACAACAGCGAAGCCTTGAGATTTACCGGGGTTTACCTGAGCCAATGACCACCTGAACCACCGAGCTGTCCTGGTCCTGGAGGGAGGCCAAGGAGGAGGAGCAGTCCAGATGCTCTAGCAGCTTGAAGGCCTGGACATACTCTGAGAGAAGACAGAGAGTAAAGATCAGGATAGGAAGATTGCCAGATCGCTCGCATCAGACATGGATCAGAACCTTTGTCTGTGGTTCCACTCCTCTTCAGAACTGCCTTCAGGTGCTCCAGGTACTTGAAAACCACATCGAAGACCTGATCCACATCCTCATTGTTCCAGAATGCCTTGGCCTTCTCTGGAAAAAATAAATCAGGACAAATGATCGTATCAGACGCATAAAAAATGTGTAAATAAACAATCTGGACCCCCAACTACTGAACCTGGACCAGATTAACTGATAAAATGACCAATAAATGTCTCTGTATGCACATTTAACCTAACGCTCAGCACGTAAAAAAAAATCAGAGCAGTTATCCATTACAAAAAAGAAAAAGACAAGAAAACAATCCCCATAACCTGGACCCCTTAAATCTGGACTAGACCCCACAGAGTGTATAAACCTACTAACAAATGGGGGGAAATTATAGTTTAACCTTTTTTTCCCCATGTAACCCACATACGAATGTGTCTAGATTAAATCCAGATAACCCGGGTTTGTTGGATGTGGACTAGGACAGTGTAAACAGACTCCTGCTGATTTGAAACTAGCTTTCAGCCGTTGTATTGTACCTAAACCACACTCTCGCATTTCCTTGTGTGTGTCTAACAGGAAAGCTCTGAGGCTAATGTAGCATTAGCCCGGTTAAACCTGGGTTAGCTGTCTGTGCAGTGCTCTGCACCTCTGAACCCCCGTTATCCGCTCCGGTTCCGTTTGTACTTCAATTCTTACCGACATATCCCGGATCTAGCGGCTCCCCCGTTTCCATTGCACATTAGCCTGCTAGCACTAAGCTAACAATAAATAAGCTCGCGAGCTCACCGCTAACTTTTAGGTAACAGGTGACCGCGGGTGCAGACGGACCTGCAGTTTGACTACCAAATAAGTCAAAAGCAGCAGTTCAAATTAAACCCGAACACCAGCCAGCTCCATGTGAACCCAGTAGGTTTATTCATTCATGTAAGCGGCTAGTCCGGTCGTTGCTTTTTGCTAACGACTGTGACTAACAGCAGACAATACATTGAACCTGCTGTTAACACTTCTTAAAGCATTGCAAGAGGTATTTATAGTTCAACAAGACCTACAACCCTGGCATCACGCAGTATAAACACTCCTGTCTTAACCGTTTAAAGTTTTTGAGCTTACGTGCCCCCTATCGGCCACCGTACTAAGACCTCAGGGTTTCAGCTCCCTGTTTTATGTCTGGCAGGAATTTCGAAAGCCCTTATGTAGACGTTATTAAAGTTTAAGGAACAGCAGACAGAAGGTCACTCACATAAAAACACACACAGAGCACATGAATATGTGAATATAACAGCCATTGTTAGCATGTTAGCAGTGGTCCTTGTATACTTACAAAAGTACATGATTTCAGTCACTAAATACTCAGAGTGGTAAAACTAGTTACATTTGCACTGCCGCAAAAGACTCTCATATACCTGCAAAGCAGCAACAGAAGGTCCATTCTGCAATTACAATCTACACATAGATCCTACCCATGAACCTGACAATAATCCATGCACAAAATACTAAAACATGCTGTACATCTGCTGTGTAGATCACACCTGCACTGGGACAAAATGCAAACTGAGCTGTTGTATTATTTAAATAAAACAGCTCCCGAAAAGCCCACAAAAATGAAATTTTTTGCTTGAAGTTGCAAATCCCTCGCTTGAGCTGATTTTGTTCACACGTTTCTTTTATTTCAGAGTCCCATGCAACCCCAACCTATTGATTCTGGGAAACACACACACACACACACAAACATACAAAACAAAGGGGAAGTGACACAATTGAGTCACGTGAAAGCACCATGGGTGGACCAGAGGTCAGTCCTCTTTCATATATTTTGTATTTTTCCAGTCTTTGCTGACTGCACAAGGCTTTATCTGTTGCCTTTGTAACAGTTTATTACATCCTTGAACATTAAGTTAAAGATGGTCACCCTCATTTAGCAGTTCAAACAATATGTTTAAAACCTGCTTTTTCAGCTTTAGGAATATTGGTAACAGGGTGGCCCCAGTAATAACAT